TTATAAATAGATTTGTGGTTGTTGAGCGATTAGCGACAAATCCGTGTTGATGCAATGACAGCTGACGCTGGACGGCAGGGTAAATGCGACTGTACAAGACTATTTCAAAGACTTTCGAGAACAAGCATAATATAGAGATTGCCCTGTGATTCTCAATATTTGACTTACCCCTTATAAGGTGGTTTATCACGTTTTACAAAGTCATGCATCAAAATTACCGATAATTTTTCATGAACCATTATTCAAAAACTTCAAGCGGAAGTTTCCAAGATGGTATAATTCGTTAATAATTAAGAACAGGAAAGAAACCATCGTAAATGGAAACAAACTAAAAACAATTTTTACAGAAAGGAGTTTATTAGACTAAGATCACTCATCAATTCACAATTAAAGGTTGCGTACGAAAGATAGTTGCAAGAAGTTCAAGAGTCGGTGAGAAATAATACCGCTTCTTTTTGGCCATTTATACAGGGTGGCGTGTCGAAAACGAAACAGAGGCGTTTACTGGCAGCTCAGTTTTTTTTTGAAAAACGCTCAGACCCGTCGATTTTGTTTTCGAGGAGGACACAAGTTTGGCAAAAAATCACGTTGAGGGATGAAAACTATGGGCCTTTAGAATCCGTTGGACAGGACGTCGACTAACACCTCACACAGTCTTCAATTTGCGGGTACTTAACGTAGGATCTACATAAACTTGCCCTAAAACCCCCACTTCTATTGTTTCGTTCCTTATGGGATTTTCAATGTTGAAAACATATTTTCGATGCACGTTACTGTTCTCATGTCGCTCATTAAGTATTTCTGCTGTTCTATTAGCGCATTGATTAATTCCGAAAAATATTTCGATAATTTCAACTCTTTTTGCTGTCGAATCTACCATGGTTAATTTATGTAATAAAGCGTTAGAATTTATTTTAGCAACAAAGTTTGGTCAACTCAATCGCAAACTATGTACTAAATTCCTATTTAAAATAAGTATGAGATATTTCCTTATCTTTCTTCAAGAAATAACTTTTTTGTCACAAAAAAACGCTCCAATAGCTATTTTCAACAACAAAATGATAAACAAACCATGGGCGTAGTGAAGAAAAGCATTTACTTATTAACTAAATTCTTTTAGTCAAATTTCTTCTGAAAGTAGTACAAACTAATTTGATGTACCTATTAAAGTCTACTTTAAGCTTTAAATCAATAAATCCTCAAAAGTACTGAACTGAAGTACATTAACTGTATATCATTATAAAGGGAATTGAAAGACCTTTAAAATAAGGTATCACTCGACCCCCCTTTCCATTTAAGATTTTGGGGGTGGTGTCACCCCCGCTTAGGAGGCTGCACGTGCTAACGTGATTTTTTGCCAAACTTGTGTCCCCTCGAAAACAAAATCGACAGGTCTGAGCGTTTTTCAAAAAAAACTGTGCTGCCTATAAATGCGTCTGTTTCGTTTTCGATGCGCCACCCTGTATATTATATGAATGAATCATAATTTTCGTTATCCATATAAGGGGATAGCCTACTCGAATCGGGACCAAAAAAGAACTTCCCGCAATAATCAAAGTGTCATTTGCTTCTTCAATAGTAAGATTCGCCATATCTATGTGCCAGTGTAGATGAAGCTTTATTAATGGTTCCCCTCCATAATGTATTCATAATTTCTAGTCATTAGCAGGCTATAAACACAGTATCAAGTATCCTGGCTGAATAAATTATCACCCGGCTTTCGTAGAGATAGAAATCATAAAGAGGAATAAGGATGAATAATTATGAATTATAATCCGATATTGCAATTGTTTTCGCTGCAAGATTCATTCGTTTGTTTCTTGACGCCACTTTCGTTGAGAAATAGTCTTCTCAGGCGTTTTGCCATTTCTAGTGATTTTTTTTAAATTTTAACGAGTATAAACTATACTATGTGACATATAAATCCGGACACCCAGTTTAAATGGTTTTATTTTATTAAAATTTTGTATAAGTACTTAATGAAGCATAATAAGTAAATGATAAAAATTTCAAAATGATTGCACTGCTTTAAAGCTCTTTGACCTTTAATAATGTGTGGATGCACCCTGATGTGCTACGCATTCTCCAACGCGCCTAGACATGCTTCTGATCAGGTGGTCAATGTCCTCCTGTGGTATCTCATTCCAGGCAACCACCAACTCCTCTCGAAGTGCTTCTAGAGTCTGAGGAGGACGTTGCAAATTGAGCAATCTCCTACCCATCATATCCCACACGTGCTCAATTGGGGATAAGTCGGGAGATCTTGGTGGCCATGGTAACAATGTGACATCATTATGTTGAAAGAAGTCTATTGTGACTCTTGCAACATGTGGTCGGGCATTATCTTGTTGGAAAGTTGGATCTGCCAGGGTGTCAAGATAGGGTAAAAGATGGGGTTCTAGAACTTCGTGGATATAACGCTGCACGTTCATGTTACCTCTGATGAAGATTAAAGGTGACCTGGAACCATAAGCTGTAGCACCCCAAACCATAACTCCAACAGTGTGATGAACATGTCTTTCAACAAAAAACTGTGGATTCCTCCTTTCACCACGTCGCCTTCTAACCCTGGCACGACCAGCGTGTATGCCTAAACAAAATCGAGACTCGTCACTAAAGACAATACTGTTCCATTCCTGATCCCAGAGTGACCGTTGTCTGCACCACTCAAGGCGATTACGTCGGTGTCCTCGAGTTAAAGGGAGGACCCAGTGTGGCCGGTATGAAAACAAGCCAAAACTTCTCATTCGTCGGTAAACACTTCGCATGCCAATAGGTCTTCCGTGTTCTGCAAACCATTCATTTGCAATGGACCTGGTAGTGGAGAAACGGTCCCTTAAGGCCAATAATCTTAGGCGGCCATCTACACGGTCTGTTGTTCTACGGCGGCGTCCAGTGCCCCTTGCTCTTTGCGTACGGCCTTCTCGAAGCTATGCCTGACAACGCCTAACCACAGTGTCTACACTTCTTTGCACTCTAACTGCAATTGCCCGAAAAGAAAGTCCAGCTTCCCGAAGTCCCACTATACGGCCCCTATCAAACTCACTAAGTTGACGAAATCGTACAGGTCTCCGTACTCTAGGCATCGTAACCGATCGTAAAGGATGTCAAGAACCAAAATCCGCCAACGTTGACTCTTTACTGCGGCTGAAATATTCATTTTTAGAGCGTTAGTGAATTAAAAAAAAGCAGTATAAAAACCGGAATGTCCAACTGATAAGGCTGAACATTTTTTCACTTGTTATTTACAGTTAGATAAATACATTCATCAACTTTTATTAAAATAAAACCATTTAAACTGGGTGTTCGGATTTATATGTCACTTAGTATATTTGTCTTAAAATTACTCAAAGAATCGTCTGTTAAATTTATGGTACATACTTAATTAACACCTTGTAACTGGATTATTATGTCGGGCAATTATCTATAAATAAATAATAGAAATAAACTACATATATATTTATAATGAATAAAAATACAAATAATACAAAAAATAGTTTGTTCATATATACAATGCCTTTCAAAAGGGTTCTCCTTACTTATTTTTTGAGCAGATTAAGTTAGCAAGCTGATATTTGGGGTGACGGAATTGTTGCATGAATAGTATATTTTAGCCTGAAAGTGCCAGTTGCACTTTTTCTTTCACCTTCAAATTCACATGATTTACAGGGTCATAATCAAAGATAAGGAAACAATCACGAGTTTTGTGTGCCCTTGAAAAGTTTCCTGTCCTATTGGGTGTACTGAAATCTCGAGCAACTCGTGGCAAATGTATTCCAGTATAATCGTATCAAAATCAACTTGAGCTGAACTGACCTTGTAAGAATCATGGTCACGATCAGCATGACACTTCCCGACACCTTCCTACAAGTGGTTTCGAATAAATGTTTCTTTCAGAATACTGATTATATGGGTTTTACTTCCCGCGTCAGTGTCGGCGAAGCTAGGCAAAAAAACAAAAAAATACTTCTTTGAAAGTAGATTAAGATAGCATCCCTTTTTGGTGTGTCTGTTCCCAAAATTGTTCAAAAAGGTACTGATTGTACAAAAACGAACTATATAACTAATATAAGCTTTGATTGTATTCTTTCGAATTTTCCATCCGAAGAAAAACGTTTCCAGAAACGAGGAATAATATAGGAATATTATTATATAAAAACTATGATTTTTATCGCTTCCTCAAAAATGTTCGACCCCCAATTCTAACTTCGTGTTCAGCGGCAAAAATTTAGTGGGACCCCTTCGTTTTTTGATGTTTTAGAGGCACTGATCACTTTCAGAAAAACTCATTTAGGGGTTGAAAATCGAGGGCTGAGAACGGGTATACCTAATTTTTTTGGCAGCACTATATTTATATACGCTTCCGACCCCAACAATATTACAGATTATAGATTTTCCCGAAAATTTGCTCTTAAAATAAATAAAATATTTATAGAAGCCACACACGATCGACGCTGAGCACTGTCCGCGTCTGATGCTTAAGTTTTTTCTAGTTGCAGTATCGCGACTGGCGTTGTCTAGTGTCGTGTGTGGTTCAGCACCGTTGCCAGATGGTCGACACTCAGAGCAGGGAAGAAACTAGCACTAGCGTTATCAAATTGATGGGGACTATGATGTATGAACTAATTGTATGTGCCTGTTTGGCTGACTTGACGTATTTCATTTTTTTGATTTAAATTTTTTCCCTCGAAGGGACCAACTTGGACCGAACATATTCATTTATGCACGCACATTGCGTGGAAGTACAGACTCTTGACGCCATTTTTATGTATTAGACACATTTACCATTTTGTTAGAAACCAATTGTAGGGTTGCTTCTGGTCGGGAAGGCAAGAAATCCAGGGTATTTGGAAAATAGGCGGAGGTATTTTAGAAGGTGATTCCGTTTAAAAAATATGAAAAAAGTTTCTATAAACATGGGTTTGGAAATGCAGGGTTTTTAAGATACAGGGAGATATTATCTAGGGCTAAATTAGCCTCTTAATAAAGCAAATAATATTGCCGAGTTTCAGCAGATCCGAAAAATATTTTTCCAGATACTTTTTCATATTTTTCAACAAGGAATCACCCTCTAAAATATCTGTCTGTTTTTCCAACACCCTGTATATCATACTGAATGGGGCCCATTTGCCAAAAGTTTTGTGCATGGTCCTTTTGCAGCTACGTGTTCACATTTTTTTAAATGGAAGGTCGGTTCGTGCGATATCTCATTTTAAGCTCATTGGGAGTGCGTTTTATTCCTAGAGTATGAAGTCACTAGCTTCCAAAATGGATTATTGGCGGGTTTTAAAAGTTGAGTGTTTTGTACATTTATTTAATCGCTTGTAACTCAAAAATCAACCATCAAAACGCTACAGTATGCTATATCAATCTTCTTCTTTTAGCAGTTGTTAAACGGACGTCTAAAATTTTTAAAGTGAATATCCCATAGCTCATTGCATATTCAGGTAGATTTTAGGTACAAAAAATGTCATCACCATGTATCTTGCTATATTGATCCCCTCAAAAAGCAGAGACCTTTATGAAAAGTACTGTATAAAATGTTGCACCACCGCGGCTGCATTTCTCCTCCAATTCTAGAACATTTGACATTGATGTTTCCTTTGGTTATCGTTGTTCAACCGGTCGCAGCTAAGTTACTTTGGATAAAAGTGAGATAGGCTGGTACGCTGACGTATACTCCATAAACTCCAGGCATTCCGCAGTTCTTGCCCCATATGACTAACCCAGCTAGGCTGTAGGTTCCAGTACTGGTGGGACATACTAGTGGAGAACCGCCATCTTGCTAAAAAAGAAAAATTTCTCGATTTACATTTCAGTTCGTTCCATACAAATGTGATTGAGAATTTGCGGACTTAGGAATTTGAAAATTTGAGTATTTGAGAACTTGATAATTTGAGAACTTTGTCAATTTTGACAATTTTGACAATTTTGACAATTTCGAGAATTTTGACAATTTTGACAATTTCGAGAATTTTGACAATTTTGACAATTTTGATACAATTTTACAATTGAGACAATTGAGACAATAAAGAGAATTTAGAGAATTTAGAGAATTTAGATAATTTAGAGAATTTAGAGAATTTAGAGAATTTAGAGAATTTAGAGAATTTAGAGAATTAGAGAATTTAGAGAATTTAGAGAATTTAGAGAATTTAGAGAATCTGGAGAATTTAGAGAATTTAGAGAATTTAGAGAATTAGAGAATTTAGAGAATTTAGAGAATTTAGAGAATTTAGAGAATTTAGAGAATTTAGAGAATTTAGAGAATTTAGAGAATTTAGAGAATTTAGAGAATTTAGAGAATTTGGAGAATTTAGAGAATTTAGAGAATTTAGAGAATTTAGAGAATTTAGAGAATTTAGAGAATTTAGAGAATTTAGAGAATTTAGAAAATGTAGAGAATTTAGAGAATTTAGAGAATTTTAAGAATTTTGAGCATTTTGAGGATTTTGAGAATTTTGATAATTTTGAGATCTTTGAGAATATTGAGAATTTTGAGAATTTTTAGAATGTTGAGAATTTTGGGAATTTTGAGAATTTGAGAATTATGAGAATATTGAGATTTTTGAGAATTTTGAGAATTTGACAATTTGAGAATTTGACAATTTGATTGACAATTTGAAAATTTGACAATTTGACAATTTGAGAATTTGACAATTTGAGAATTTGAGGATTTGAGAATTTGAGAATTTGAGAATTTGAGAATTTGAGAATTTGAGAATTTGAGAATTTGAGAATTTGAGAATTTGAGAATTTGATTTGAGAATTTGAGAATTTGAGAATTTGAGGATATGAGGGTTTGAGAATTTGAGAATTTGAGAATTCGAGAATTTGATTAAGGTTTCATAAAAAAACTTCAATCTTGTTTTGAAGATCAATATTTTTTTGTGCTTACCGTGCAGGCGTCTTTCATATTTTCTCCTCCAGCGCATATCTCGCCGTTAGGATCGAGGTACACATCTACGTTGGGTCCTAGAAGGTTGGCAGCACTGAATGACGTTCTGCAAGTACTGTACGGTACTACAGTTACTGTCACTTGTTTCTGAGGATTGGTCGGAGCGTCAAAGGTGGTGAAGGCTGTTTGGCCCCAGCCTGACACCAGACATCTGTAATCGGTATTATTATAAGTGTATTTGACACATGAAATCAGTGGAATTATCATCACAGAATATTAGCATACAACTCTTCACTATGTTCCTATGAACTGCCGTTTCCTTCCAGATATAGTATATATACAACATACAGCTTAGACCTCCAATAATGCCATCTCAAAGTAGATGTTACCTCACATCGGAGCCAAACATTGATAGCTGATGCATCATAATGCTTAGGCAACACGTACAGCTTACCAACGACTGCTCATCGAGTGAAAACAGCTAGTTCCAAGTTGACATTTATATAACTTACACAATGTCACAAAAAACCTATATAAGTAATATAATGTTAAAAAAATAGACACGTCACTTTTCAAGATATGCAATACCCCTGCGGTTCAATAGGACAATATCATATCTAATATTAAACCTTTGGGGTATTTTGACAAATCCGAAAAAATGAATTTAGAATCTTCTTATTTTTAAATATGGCCTCGGCCCATTCTACCTACCAGTTAACTATGTCTACTTCCTCAACAACGTGAATAGAGGATAGTTACAATGCTTTCGTTCGTTGTCCAGAGACGATTGACCATGCCTAGACCATGCTCATGGGTAGCCAAAAAGCACTAAACAGCTGTCCATGGTTGGCTGTCGTTTTGGTCGAACGCATAATGTTCAGTTTATTCAATGGCAAGTAGATCACATCTACTTCACAGCCAGAATCGTCAGCCATCTAGCGGTCACGTGGTGACTGGGCTGTTGAACGTGAACTGAGATCCCAAACAGTTCCTAGTAATAGTAGTTCTGCGCTCTCCACAGAGGTCGATTCTGGTGTGATAGATGACCGTATTTCGATAAACCTGTATACCTACAAATAATAAGACATGCGGTGGTTACCTTTGTCCAACGTACGACGCTGATGTTGAACCTGCAGCTGGAAAACATATTGTGTTGATATTGGCGTACAGTCCCAATACTATGGGTTGAGTTAGGGTCAGTATGGCTATGTCGTTCGTCAGTAAACTGGCGTTGAAATTGCTGGGTATAGTAATGCGTGACACAGTGCTGGATTGAACATTCACCAAACTATTTGGGTTCCATACACCCATAAGGACAGTGATGGCTTGTGGGTTTGCTCTGAAAAAAAAAAAGAAAAAATGGAGTCAGTTAGGTTGGCTCTACTTTTCCTACGCAATGCCGTCAGCAGTTCATAAAGGATTATGTTGAAATAGCTCAGCACCATAGACATCTTGGATGGAGGATACTGGCTATGGTTGTTCGTTATCCGACGGACCAAGCCTTGATCATGCTGATGAGTTTCTAAAAATGCACGAAACTGCTGTCTGAGCTTGGCTGTCTTTCGTCGGACAGACGAAAGCAGCATGATTAAGTTAAACCCTCAAAGAAAGTATATCAGAAATTAAAAGGATCAAGTCCGTCAAACATGTCCGTACACTTAGTCCATAACATTTTTTCCCTGCCCTACCCGAAGGTGATGAGGTCTGAGGAGCAAAGCCCGTTGGCGAACAACAACACGCCAAAGGTTTGAGCAGTAGTCCAGGCTAGGTCTTATTTGGGCCTTGAACACTTACACATTGCGGTAGACCTTATGAGCAGCCGTAAGCACGTGGAACGCGTCAAGTAGTGCTCCGCTGCCCGCGTATGTGTGGGTAGTGTTGCGTAGATACGCCTGCCAAGGATACGCTCCGAAACTAGACTGTCCATCGGCTGTGTTGGTGACGTTCACGAATCTGGTACCGCATGGAACGGTTCGGCCGTAGCAGGGGAAGGTGCCTGCAGGGCATACCTGGAATTTGAGAAAATAATAATAATGGTTTATTGGTGTTATTACACAAAACGTGCTTACACAGGCTAATGTTATAATTGGAGAAGCTTAGAAGCAAGAAGAAAATAGATGACAAGCATTACATATAAAAACAAACACATACAGGGTGTAAACGTTATGGTAGTCATTATTGAAATGGGTAATAGTCAAAAAGTTCATATGGCCCATGGTCCAAAAGTCAATGGATTTTTGTCTAAATGGCTGACTTACTAATTTTTATAATGTAATCTAAAACGTTTTAATTAACAAATAAATTTCTAAGTTAAGCCAAAATTTATAATCAGTAAGTTTCATTAAATTAAATATTTAAAACACACATGACCACAGCGCGTCGGTCATTCATCACTCTTATCGAACCGGCAATCGATCGCAAACGGTAACAGTGGTAAGTTATTGTTCGCGTACGTCGTCGTGTTTATTTACAATGTTCTCGAATCGAGAGTTCGCCGACATGTTGTTAGTTTATGGTGAAGCTCGTTAGAATTCAAACTTGCAGCTCAAATTTATCGACAGATTTCGCCAACGGGTACACCCAGACAGAAGGACATTTGTGCAAGTGTACCAAAGACTTCGTGATACGGGAAGTGGCCAGCCCACTAATATTCGCACTCGTGAAAGACAGGTTACTGTAGAGCAGGAGATACAAATTTTAAATATCGTGAAAATCAATGCAGATATCAGTACTCGGGAATTAGGCCGCCGCGTAGGACTATCGCATACCATAGTCCATAGAATCCTACGGAAAAATTTGCTTTATCCCTACCATGTAGAACGAGTGCAGGCCTTGTTACCAGAAGGCTATCCTCGCAGACTAACATTCTGTCAGTGGTTTTTGCACAAAAACATTGATAATCCGGGTTTTTTAAAAACATTCTAGTGACGGACGAATGTACTTTTACACGAGACGGGATATTAAATTTCCATAATACTCACACGTGGGCCAAAGAAAATCCTCATACCATTCGTGAAGGTCATTTCCAACAACGTTTTAAAATAAATATTTGGGCGGGTATTCTTGACGATCAGGTAATTGGCCCTTTCGAGTTACCCCCAAAGTTGTCAGGAAAAGGATACCTTAGCTTTCTAGCCAATCACTGGACAACAAATTTTAGTTTTTTAATTGTATCTTGTGGGAAAAGTGCACGTCTTTGTTAATTTTGGGGCGCTGAATCCAAAAATGACAATGAAATAAAAAAATTAGTTGCGGTTTAGAAAAAAAACTTTTTATTTTTAAGGATATATTAAAAATAGTAACAAGATTCATATACTTATAAGAATCACTATATGCGCTGTCTTTTTGCTGTTCTTTTATGGATCGTTTCTGGAGCATCTCTACCAAGAGTCCAACAGTAGTCTGCAAGCATGGAAGGATTCCACTTTCCCTGGTACCTTTTTTCCATTGTTGAAATATCCTGATGAACACGTTCGCCGTGCTCATCACTTACGGCTCCGCAATTGTCAGGAAAAAAGTCCAGGTGTGAGTGTAGGAAATGTATCTTAAGAGACATATTACAGCCCATCTTTTGATACGATGACAGCATATTTTTGACAAGGGATTTATAGTTGTCAGCTTTTCTATTTCCCAAGAAATTAGTGACCACCAGACGGAAATCATTCCAAGCAGTTTTTTCAATACCTGTTAAAGTGTTTTCAAACTGTGTATCTTTCAAAATATTTCGAATCTGTGGCCTAACAAAAATACCTTCTTTAACCTTTGCCTCACTTAGTCTTGGAAATTTCTGACGCAGGTATTGAAAAGCTGACCCATCTCTATCTAATGCTTTGACAAAGTTTTTCATTAGGCCCAACTTGATATGCAGTGGTGGTAATACATTTTTTTTCGAATCTACTAATGGCATATGCTGTACATTTTTTTGACCTGACTCTATGAATTGACGAACAGGCCAGTTTTGTCTGGTGTAATGAAATGCCTTTGCCCGACTGTCCCATTCACACAAAAAACAGCAAAACTTTGTGTAGCCTAGCTGCAGCCCAAGTAAAAGTGCAACAACTTTCAAATCGCCACAAATATGCCATTGGTGCTCATCGTATTTTATGCATGTCAATAGGTACTTCATATTGTCATATGAATATGCAATAACACTGCCTTTAAACTCAATGTTGAACTGTCTATAAACAATCTACATTCTTCTGGGTTATAGTTTATATTTAAAGCCGCCAGTAAGCCGTTAATGTTACTGCAGAAAACCAAGTTATTCTCCATATTGAAAAATGGTTCTAAGTCTTTGTGGCGTTTACGAAAAACACGTACCAAAACATCGTCTTCTAACAAGTTCCACTGCTGCAGTCTTGATCCAAGTAACTCTGCCTTACAGTTTGGAAGTTCTAAATCTCTTACAAGATCATTTAATTCTGACTGTGTTATTTTGTGCGGTTGCTGGCATGACGTGCTCGGTATAAAATCAGGATCTCTTGACGTTGATGGCATATCTTCTTCCTGACGAATCACTCGATCGCCATGATCTGATTCGTTTTCTGATTCGCAAGTGTAGGATTCTGGGGGTTTTGGAATACGATTTTCGTCACTGTGAGGCACAGGTCTCATCGCAGATGGTATGTTTGGGTAGTTAATAACCGATTTTTTTTTCTTGGACATACCTGTGGCTTGACCAACACAAGGTACCATGCAAAAGTAACAATCATTAATATGATTTGTAGGCTCTCTCCAAGCCATTGGGACAGCAAAGCGCATAGACTGTTTTTTGCCACTTAACCAGCTCCTCAGACTTGAAGCACATGTATTACAGCAGATGTGGGGTGCCCACTGTTTGTCTTGATCACCTAGTTTACAACCGAAATAAAGCTGATATGCTTTTGTTATTAGTGGAGTAATAGACCGTCTCTGAGACGCAAAAGTCACATCACCACACACGTAACAAAACTGATCTGGATTGTTTACACACTTTCGAGACATCTTGCATGAACGCTGTCAGCCAACTGAGGAAAAAATGGCTAATATAACACAATATAATGTACACGTATGTATAACGTAACACAATCATGCCGATTACATCATCTTTCCTTGCCGAATACAAAAATGTAGCACGTGCATTCTTGTGAAGTACAGTATATTAACACTGTCACAGCAGGAACACATATAATTACCGTATCTTTAAAACTTGAACTAATATTGAAAAAATAAGTTTCATTCCGGTTTTAGCACATTAAAAATAGTAATATTTTGTTGATTTTATTTAGGATATTTTTTGGCTGTTGGTCAGTGTAACCTACCAGAACTTTTGAAACAGACCTTAGGCATCATGCCATTACAACGGAGACAGAATTTGTGGTTTCTTCATGACGGGGCACCACCACACATTTCTCTCCTGACCTCAATCCGATGGATTTCTAGTATTGGGGAGATAATAAAGGGATGGTTTATGGGGCTGGTCCAAACAAGCTTGTGTGGAAAGTGGAGGACGACATTTTGAACACCTTCTTTGAATACAAAAAAGTGCAGTGTGGGTTTCAAAAACAAAAACAATATCAAAATTGAGACCAATTGAAGCGTTGAGACAGTTAGTGGTAAGTCGGTTTTTTTAATTGTTCTTACGAATAAATTATCAAATAATGAAATAATACCTAAGAGCCAAAAATAACAAACTCCATCTTTATTTACACTGCATTCCGTCGTAATTCGCGTCTGGCATTGCGGCGTTGTCAGATTTTATTTTACTTTAAATTCGCTTTTCTCTAAAAAATGCCGTTTTGGCCCCCATGTTATATGAAACTTTTTGCTTCTTTCAACGCCCTCTATAACCCATTTAAATAATGGCTATCATAACGTTTACACGCGTATATGGTTAAAAGAGAAACAATAAAAAGTACAGAAGATAGTCTACGTCCAATCAATAAATAAATGGCATACGAGTAAGAAATAGACTATAATAAATAATATATACATGGTTTGAATGAAAAAAAAAATAGTATATAACAGCCAAACTATAGAGTATAATAATAGGGTTTATTTGCAGCTATCAGTACAAAAACATAAGGATTACACAAATGTACTAACTCAGAAAAAAGCAACTGCAAAAGGGACTGGTAAGAAGTCTGCGATTGATAAAAGTACCAGACATATCATCATAACTCGTTAAAAAAGCACTTGGTAATTGCGATTAACTATCACCACCAAAATGGAATAGTAACAAAGAATAAAATATTGAAAAAAAAAACGCAATACAAGAAAAACAATCTAAAATTATCTAGCTCATTTACAGTGGCACTTCAAGCAGAATATAGGAAGCAAGCCTAAAAACAATCTCCTCCTCATCTGGAGTCAAGGAGCTTGATTTGAAAGTTGAAATTGGAGCTTGTTTTGATATTTGTGGCAACTTGGTTGTACAATCGATAAACATTTTAAGACCACTAAGTCACGACTGATTTATGTGATGGTTGAGAAATAAAAGTGCTCTAAACTTGACATTATTATGATTTATTGTACAGGTACGTGACGAAGTTGTGGTCTAGGAACTCGTCAGTGGTGAAGAAAGCTGTAGACAAGAGCAACTTTTTCACACCATTGCTAAATTCATTGTATGCTGGAGATATTGGTTCCATCCTACCATCCAGACTATCGTAGTAACACACAGTGCAGGAATGTGATAATGAATAGAAAAACTGTCACCTGGAAGACAGATGAAGTACGAGTATGCTACCAAAAGTATCAATTGTACTTGAGAAGGGTGTGGTTTTTATAGGCCAGACCCTCGAGGATTATCGTCATGTAACCCACAGGATAGGTTGCAGATGTTACATTAAAGAATAGATCATAAAGAGTTGTCAGAGGCTTTAATTTCTTTGGGAGTGCCTCAAGGGTCGGTTATTGGGCCACTTCTTTTTATTTTATATATCTCCGATCTTGATAAGGCTATTAAACACTGCAATATTCTTTTTTTTGCATCAAAAGTAATTATATTCACTCAAAATTTAGAAATCAAATTAAGAAATATCCGACAATATCAATAACTGGTGAAATTATAAAAGTATGTGAAACTGTAAAAAATCTAGGCATATCTCTTGATGAATGTCTAAATTTTATCCCTCATGTGAATAATGTTACAAAAAGTTGTTTTTTAATACTTCGGCCATTATACTTGAACAAACAAATTCTTGATACAAAAACTAAAAAAATTCTCTGTGAGTCATTAATTGTTTAAAAAATTAGACACTGCGACATTGTTTATCATCCAATTTTAGATTCAGTATCTGTCCTGGTTCATAAAATAGGAATGGTTATCTATTCATAATCTATACTAAGTGACATATAAATCTGAACACCCAGTTTAAATGGTTTTATTTTAATAAAATTTTGTATAAGTACTTAATGAAGCATAATAAGTAAATGATAAAAATTTCAAAATGATTGCACTGCTTTAAAGCCCTTTGACCTTTAATAATGTGTGGATGCACCCTGATGTGCTACGCATTCTCCAACGCGCCAAGGCATGCTTCTGATCAGGTGGTCAATGTCCTCCTGTGGTATCTCATTCCAGGCAACCACCAACTCCTCTCGAAGTGCTTCTAGAGTCTGAGGAGGACGTTGCAAATTGAGCACAATCTCCTACCCATCATATCCCACACGTGCTCAATTGGGGATAAGTCGGGAGATCTTGGTGGCCATGATAACAATGTGACATCATTATGTTGAAAGAAGTCTATTGTGCCTCTTGCAACATGTGGTCTGGCATTATCTTGTTGGAAAGTTGGATCTGCCAGGGTGTCAAGATAGGGTAAAAGATGGGGTTCTAGAACTTCGTGGATATAACGCTGCGCGTTCATGTTACCTCTGATGAAGATTAAAGGTGACCTGGAACCATAAGCTATAGCACCCCAAACCATAACTCCAACAGTGTGATGAACATGTCTTTCAACAAAAAACTGTGGATTCCTCCTTTCACCACGTCGCTCTAACCCTGGCACGACCATCGTGCATGCCTAAACAAAATCGACACTCGTCACTAAAGACAATACTGTCCCATTCCTGATCCCAGAGTGACCGTTGTCTGCACCACTCACGGCGATTACGTCGGTGTTCTCGAGTTAAAGGGAGGACCCAGTGTGGCCGGTATGAAAACAAGCCAAAACTTCTCATTCGTCGGTAAACACTTCGCATGCCAATAGGTCTTCCGTGTTCAGCAAACCATTCATTTGCAATGGACCTGGTAGTGGAGAAACGGTCCCTTAATGCCAATAATCTTAGGCGGCGATCTTCACGGTCTGTTGTTCTACGGCGGCGTCCAGTGCCCCTTGCTCTTTGCGTACGGCCTTCTCGAAGCCATGCCTGACAACACCTAACCACAGTGTCTACACTTCTTTGCACTCTAACTGCAATTGCTCGAAAAGAAAGTCCAGCTTCCCGAAGTCCCACTATACGGCCCTCATCAAACTCACTAAGTTGACGAAATCGTACAGGTCTCCGTACTCTAGACATCGTAACCGATCGTAAAGGATCTCAAGAACCAAAATCCGACAACATTGATTCTTTACTGCGGCTGAAATGTTCATTTTTAGAGCGTTAGTGAATTAAAAAAAAACAGTATAAAAACCGGAATGTCCAACTGATAAGGCTGAAAATTTTTTCACTTGTTATTTACAGTAAGATAAATACATTCACCAACTTTTATTAAAATAAAACCATTTAAACTGGGTGTTCGGATTTATATGTCACTTAGTATATTTAAATTGCATTTACTATTTTGTATTCACAAGCTTTTACAATTCCCCCATTTTTGAAAGATAATTTAAAATTTCGTGGTTCTATGTTCTCACGAGATATTCGCTTTATTGATACAATAAAAATTGCTTCTCACCAAACTTCATCTTTTGCTAAATCTTTTACTTATATTGCTGCATCATGTACAATGCTTCACCCTCTGATACTAAAGCTTTATATTTCAAGAATTTCATACATCATTTAAGAAAAATAATTTTTCGAGCTATCATTGACATACATTTACCTCTTACTTCTGCTTATGATATACGCATCAATATGTATGTATATTGTTATACTTTTATCCAATCTTGATTTACCTGTGTTTTACTCAATTAATGTATTTTTTATGTTGAAACTCTGCACTTTAGTGGCTGGTATATTTTTTTTGGATGGACATTTTACGGGTTAAGTGGTAGAATAGCTTATGCTAAACTTTGCCCAATAATGACGTTTTATTATTATTGTTATTAATATGATTAAAGATATCGTAGTACGAACCCCTGTTCCAGTAGGTGTAACAATTCTTGGATCGATTGTGTTACCTCCCGAAGAACCGCTTGTTGGACATACTGTACCCGTTGCTAGACACAGATACGTTTGTCCGGTGGGTGTCACTCCAGATGTCGTTTGACCGGTCGAACAATCTGGAAATAAGAGCAAAAGTAAGAAATACGCGACCTTTTAATTTGGAGAAAAAATAGCCGTTATGATATCCTAAATGGATTTTAGTTTTGATTCACACTTTGAATATTTTAAAAAAGATAGAAATTTAAGCGTGTCGCTTAAAATTGAAAGGAAAATGAGTGGTAAAAATAAACCTATTTAAAATATGTTTATTGAAAAGGTCTAGCTTTAACTACTTTGTGACGAGGTCCGAGCTATTTACCCCGTGCGTAATACAATACAATATATTACAAAGTGATGGCGATATATACAGTGGTTTTATATATTACACTAAAAAAAAAAACATGTAAAGTTTTTCTTATATGGTACCTAGGTAACTCAATATCCGTATGCACCAATCTTAAACAATGTGTAATATACTAAGTGACATATAAATCCGAACACCCAGTTTAAATGGTTTTATTTTAATAAAATTTTGTATAAGTACTTAATGAAGCATAATAACTAAATGATAATAATTTCAAAATGATTGGACTGCTTTAAAGCCCTTTGACCTTTAATAATGTGTGGATGCACCCTGATGTGCTACGCATTCTCCAACGCGCCTAGGCATGCTTCTGATCAGGTGGTCAATGTCCTCCTGTGGTATCTCATTCCAGGCAACCACCAACTCCTCTCGAAGTGCTTCTAGAGTCTGAGGAGGACGTTGCAAATTGAGCAATCTCCTACCCATCATATCCCACACGTGCTCAATTGGGGATAAGTCTGGAGATCTTGGTGGCCATGGTAACAATGTGACATCATTATGTTGAAAGAAGTCTATTGTGACTCTTGCAACATGTGGTCGGGCATTATCTTGTTGGAAAGTTGGATCTGCCAGGGTGTCAAGATAGGGTAAAAGATGGGGTTCTAGAACTTCGTGGATATAACGCTGCGCGTTCATGTTACCTCTGATGAAGATTAAAGGTGACCTCTAACCATAAGCTATAGCACCCCAAACCATAACTCCAACAGTGTGATGAACATGTCTTTCAACAAAAAACTGTGTATTCCTTTTTTCACCACGTCGCCTTCTAACCCTGGCACGACCATCGTGCATGCCTAAACAAAATCGAGACTCGTCGCTAAAGACAATACTGTTCCATTCCTGATCCCAGAGTGACCGTTGTCTGCACCACTCAAGGCGATTACGTCGGAGTTCTCGAGTTAAAGGGAGGACCCAGTGTGGCCGGTATGAAAACAAGCCAAAACTTCTCATTCGTCGGTAAACACTTCGCATGCCAATAGGTCTTCCGTGTTCTGCAAACCATTGATGTGCAATGGACCTGGTAGTGGAGAAACGGTCCCTTAAGGCCAATAATCTTAGGCGGCGATCTTCACGGTCTGTTGTTCTACGGCGGCGTCCAGTGCCCCTTGCTCTTTGCGTATGGCATTCTCGAAGCCATGCCTGACAACGCCTAACCACAGTGTCTACACTTCTTTGCACTCTAACTGCAATTGCCCGAAAAGAAAGTCCAGCTTCCCGAAGTCCCACTATACGGCCCCTATCAAATTCACTAAGTTGACGAAATAGTACAGGTCTCCGTACTCTAGGCATCGTAACCGATCGTAAAGGATGTCAAGAACCAAAATCCGCCAACGTTGATTCTTTACTGCGGCTGAAATATTCATTTTTAGAGCGTTAGTGAATTAAAAAAAAGCAGTATAAAAACCGGAATGTCCAACTGATAAGGCTGACAATTTTTTCGCTTGTTACTTACAGTAAGATAAATACATTTACCAACTTTTATTAAAATAAAACCATTTAAACAGGGTGTTCGGATTTATATGTCACTTAGTATATTAGTGTTAAAAGTTTAGTTTAATTGTCACTGTACTGGTGTGAGTTTCCCAAGTGACTTTTGAATCTAAACGCCAAGGAATTTAACTGGATGTATCCATTCGCTATTGTGTTCTGATCATAATCAACTGAAGATTTTGTGGTGTTAACCGGGTAACCTGTCAGCCATGAACCAATGTTGCATATTAGTGAAATGTTGCTGAGAATCTATTGTCAATTGTTGGACGAGATGGTTGTGTTGTCATCAGCAAAGAGCATGCATTTATTGTCGTTACAGTCCGGTAGGTCATTAATATATATGTAAAAGAGAATAGGCCCTAAAACTGTTCCTTGAGGTACTCCATGCTTGATTTGATAACGTATGTTTTAGATGTATAGTTCTGCTACGTATTGTCGCGTATTTGTCAAGCAGCAGCTTACCAATAAAGACCTAGTCTGACTAAAGCCACAGATAAGTCTAGGCACTTGAACTTACCTAATACATAGAAAATCATTCCTAAAACAAGAAACTGCCGCATGTTGTTTAAACGTCACAAACTGATGCAGGAATAAATTGTGACTGGTAGTCACGTAATCGAAACATTCATTTAAATATTCCAGTTCTTGGGGATTTCCATCTGGACATACAAAAGATTTTCGATGACATTGACTCCTGGATAAATACCTTAAAAAACGGAAGTGCTAAATCATACAAATTACTCTTTCACCGATAAATAAAAGTAATTTGTTATGTGATCCAGTCATTGTAGAGGAGAAATGCATATATGAACTGTATATGCTCTGTTTTTTATGGGGAGTGAAGCGAATTTTTCTTTTGGCTACGGATATTGTGATTGTCCGTAGGTAGTAGACTGTCTCTGTCAGTCGAACGCGGAGGTACCACCCGACGCATTTCTAAGGCGGGGCCAGAATGTGTTGCATGCACACGTGTTTCCACGCTAGAGTCCGTGTGGCGTCCACCCTTTCCCCTGTATCTCCTTATAACCCCACAGTACCCATGGCTGCTTAGGCATCAGGCCTACGTGGAGATTCAAGTATAAAAAAGAAGCGTTGTGGACATTTACGAATCGGAATCTGGGGCCAGATTCTAACTGAATTTCGACTGTTGAAATTAATTTCGATGGCACTGCCATGATGATTTGAATATAGAAAATGGCTATAATTAGGTATCAAAATTATTATCATGTATGATGGGAAGGCGACATCGAACTGAAATTCAACGATCTGTCAGTGCATTTGTCTATATCTTCGCGTTGCGGGTTCATGTATAATTTCAGTAACTGCTGCGTTGATTTTGGTCAAATTTTGAAGGCGTTGTGGTAGGTAATTCTGATTTGAGGAATAGGTGCATTGGATGCAGAGTAATTACCCTGACAGAAGAGTAAATGATGATATCTAAACAACTTAAAATACATTATTTGGGCATATACCGGGTGTTTCGAATTCTACCCTCACCCTTGGGATCTCGGAAACGATGAGAGATACGAAGTTATTAAAATGGGGATATAGTTGCGCATTTAGGTAAATAACAAAATGTCGCTTAGAAAGCTTCGAAATTTAATATTGGATTTCTGCACAGATGAATGGAGTTTTTGGTTCTGATTTCAAAAATGTATGTGATAATTGACAGTGTCAAACCTTGCTTAAAAAAATAGAATTTCCTAAGTAGGCATGGAAATTACCACATAGTGATTTGTTGCATGTACCAGATTCATCGCAATATCATTTTTATCTTTTCCTGGTTTTATGTGAGATTGTATTTCAAAATAATTGCATGTCTCTTCTACAAGATTGCGTAATTTTCAATTCTAGGTTTCTCCATTCGACTATACCTGCCGTTTCACTATTAGTAAAATGTCCATATTGGACAAAAAATAACCACTAAAAACACTTTTTATAATAAATTATAAATTAATAGATCATATTAGGATATGAAAAAAAATTAAAGACAAAATTTATTTCTATTTTCTTAAACCAAAGAATATAATAAAAATTGCGCAAAAGTTAGTGGCGTAAATTCAATCAAGTTAGAGCTAAATTAATGTCAAATTACAACACGTAAAGGATATTTAAGAAATTTATGAAAAAACATTTTTTTCAATTTCAACACCTTGAAAACAAATAATTTGCGGTCCGATGTTTTGTATGAACCTTTTGTCTCAAAATTGCTCAAAGATGCTACAATCTTTAAATTTAAATTAAATTGGGGTGAAAATTGAGTAGTTATTAGGAATTTTTTGTTCGCAGCTTTGAAACTTGAGAAGCTAAATGTTCTGTTTAATTACCCTCATGAATTTCCTAGGTGCATTCAGAACTGGTTTGTCGTTAACGGGTTGACGATGTGTTAGATAAATGAGCCCCTTCAAGATTTGTACCAAAATATGCCTTTATCAACTAAACATGACGAAACTATTTATTTCTAAAACAATTTATTTTCACGAAAACATTTTAGATACACTCTAGTCGTAAAAAATACACCACTTAGACCTATAACTAATAGAACATCTGAACAAATAAACAATGTGCGACTAAATGCGCGAAGTTAACAAAGCAACAATTGAAAGATTACCAATGGGTAACATCGTAACATCACCTTTATTTTTTATTACGGCTGAAATTCGTTGGGGCATAGTGTTAACCAAGTTTTGTAAAAAATTTGGTGTAAAACAATCCATATTTCTTGAAGCTTTTGTCTCAGTTCGGTGATTGTACGAGCAGGATGTTGTCGTAGAAGCTTTTTCATCTCGTGCCACAAAGTTTCAATAGGTGACAGATCTGGACTGCTAGAAGCCCATTTCAAAGGTAGCAAATTATTTTCTTCCATCCATTTTAAAGCCTTTTTTGAGGTATGGCACGCTGCACCATCCTGCCGAAACACAAAATCTTGGCCGGATGTCAAACATTCTTCCATCAGTGGTAAAAGCGATTCTTCTAAAATTGCCAAATATTTGGTTGTATCCACATTTGCATCAATAAAATTAAGTTTTCCTACTCCTTTTGATGACATACTGCCCCAGACCATAATGGATGCTGGAAATTTCACTTTTCTCATCAGACAGTCAACATGGAATGCTTCTTTTTTTTTGCGAATAACCCTACTGCGA